TTCACTCCCTCGTCCAAGTCGCTGATGAAGACATTAAAGAGTATCGGTCCAAGGACCGAGCCCTGTGGGACCCCACTGCCCACACCCTTCCAGGTTGAAACCGACCCATCCACCATGAATCTCTGGGTGCGACCCTCTAGCCAATTCACCACCCACCGGACTGTGTAGTCATCCAAGTCACAGCCTCTTAACTTGTTCACCAGTATGGGGTGGGATACCGTATCGAAGGCCTTCCTGAAGTCTAAGTATACGACATCCACCCCTACTTCTGTGTCCAGGCGGTTCGTAACCTGGTCATAAAAAGAGACTAGATTAGTCAGGCATGATCTGCCTGCTACGAACCCGTGCTGGTTTCCCCTCAGCATAATTTGTCCTGCCGGGCTCTCGCAAATGTGAGCCTTGATAATTTTTTCAAAGATTTTGCCAAGGATGGAGGTAAGACTGACTGGCCTATAGTTGCCCGGGTCCTGAGGCGATCCTATAGTTGTGAGGCGATCCCTGCTGCCCCCCACTCCGCCCTGCCATGTGGGGGGTATACCATGAGCCCCCTGACCCCTGTCCACTCTTCCAGCCCCCCCCCCTTGGATGCTCTGCCCTCCCCAGCACTATTTTTTTTTTTTTTTTTTTTAAAGCCCTGACTCTCTGGCTCCTGCCAGGCAAGGAGGGGTGATCCCTGCTGCCCCCCACTGTCTCACACTGCATGGGGGGGCTCTGCCATGAGCCTCCAGAAGCCCCGAGGCTGTTGCAGCAGCCGGGGAGGGGGGGTTTTGGGGGTCATTTTAAGGGCTGGGAGCTGGAGGGGCTGGGAGAGTGGGTGGGGGTCGGGGGGCTTGTGGCAGAGCCCCCCATGTGGCATGGGGCAGTGGGGTGCAGCAGGGATTGCCCCCCCCAACCTGCCAGGAGCTGGTGAGTGGGGGCTTCTTTTTTTAAAGAGCTGGGAGCTGGGGTTGGATGGGGTAGCCATGAGGGTGGTCTCTGTGAGAGCGGTCGCCAGTTGGGAGGGTGCTTAGGGGGATTGGGGGAGCAGGAAGGGGATGGGGCTTGGCAGGCGTCCCTTCCATGGTCCTCTCCCCCCTCCTCCAGCTCCCCCTTTCCCACCCCCTACTTACCAGCATGGAGTCTGGGTCCAGCTCCCTGTTGCGGCGAGTGGGGACTTCCTGAATCACTGAAGCTCTCAGAATCTTTTCTGAATGATTCGGAGAGCTTCGAATTGATTTGGGCCTTGTAATTGGTCTCTTGATTCGATTAGGATTCGAAGGTTTGGCCACTGAATCGGGCTGAATCTCCTCCGAGTCATTGAAGCTTCACCCAGCCCTAATTCTCTTTTCTCTTAACCAGATAATAACACACACTAAAGCCACGATTTAACAAAAGTTCAGTACTTGGGAAAACATTGAAGTTTTGAAAGGTCTTCTCTACTTTTTGCTGTGAGACAGAGGAAAACAAAAATCTAAAAGTAGAGATAAGAGGGGTAGGTTTTGTTCTTACTGTTCCTTTTTTGCCCACATTATATTTATCCAATTTTGTTAGCCAACTTCCTGATTTGTTGGAAGTCAGGGACAGTATTTTTCCATCTACTCCTTTCACTGGGTGCAGGTCTTGACCACAATTCAAGCTAAGTATGCAGCTTGAGCTGGGCACAAACGTCAAACCCAGGCTTGCACGGGGCTGGGGGGGAAACTT